TATAAATTTGTTATAAAAGTATTATTGATTGCACTTGAAAAATTAGGTAACTTTATGTTATTAAAGGTAAAGTTTAAACAGTAATGATTTACTGGTTAATGTCAAATTGTCATAACAAAGACATTTTGAATAATGTCAACTTTGTATTAAAAGTGTCATAATTTACCGAATGACGCTTTATAACAACAGTCATAAATATTCATGAAGGCTTATTCATGAACATGACAGGTGTTATGTCATGTTTATGAAAGTGTCATGACAGTCTTATTCACCACCCTTCAAATAAAGTGTTACCGAAGTTTTTAAAAAAAAAAACAAATTTATACATTGATGCACCAACAAGGCAAAAACCTAAAAAGAAACAATAGAAGAGAAAAAAAAAGTTAGAAATAGAAAAATGCCATTAAGGACTGTAAATTGAGGGAGGAAATTAAATGAAACATGGTATGGTGATACAGCCGTATCTTGTTTTAGGACAAACAGCCTGAATCAAAACATGGATGCCGGCATCTGCCAGTCAGTTTTACTTGTGTCACAACATCACAACTGCCTGACACATCACACGACACCATATGTTCCGCCTGCCCTGTGAAACACCAACGTCTGCATTGTAAAGCCAAAACAATCTCCCACTGCTTCAGTTTCCACAGACGAAGGGTTCTGTTTGGTTTAGAAACTGAGCTCCATGGGATTATGTTTATGTTATATAATGTCAGAATGCATCATGGAGATAGATTTATGATAAACAGAAATTGACACTGCAGACGTTCTGTGTAGAACAAAACAACCACACCCATGTAAAACAGTCTCAAATGCACACTTCTACAGAATCCAAACAAAAGTTACATAAGGAAAATGAAACAAAGGAAAAGCAGTGAGTCCGGAGATGTGAGGCGTAGAAAAAATAGAGATAAAATCCCAGAGGAATGAAAACCCCCGTGGGAGACATGCAGAAGCAGGCATCAGATCTTTGTCAGCAATTCAGAATATGAAAAGTCATCACAATATGATACCTGGCACTAATTTGATATTACCAATGATAAAGTAATAAATAAAAAAAAGTATTTAACCTGTAAGATGTGGAAAAATGTTGAGTTTTTTTGGCTTCCCTTGTTAGCAAATGATAAAATAGAAAAGAAAACTCAGAAAATATTAACTTGAGTAAATAGTTAAATAGGTTTACTTACTTGGATATCTGAAGTAGAAGTCATTCTGTATGTCAGTCAAATTATTATGTTTTCTGTGCTCAATCCAGTGTGGGTCTGATTCTTCATCATATCGAATAAAAACCCCAAACAGAATGATCATGGCTATCTGCCACACCACGCACACTGCCGGCAGACTTAAGCGAACATTAGTATTCTTCGTGCGGTCGCACATATCCCTGAAGCTCTGAGCAGCCCCCATGTTGGCTGCTTTTACTGTCGCAAATTTTCCAGGTGTCGGAGACCCCGAAAGCTTCAACGTCTCAGCTGAGCTGCTGTCTGAAAAGCCCAGAGCATCTTCAAGCTCCAGCTCAGGTTTAAGAGGAATCCAGTCTAAGGACACTCCCACAGGGACGCCTCCCTCCCTGCATATGGAACATACCTAACTCTTTTCGGGGACATTTTTTCTTTACTTTTAATATTGACTGTATAGACATGTTTTTGCTACCAACATCGATGAAGCCTCAACAATTTTTTAGGATGTTTTGCCGGAAGAAAGGTGGTTCACGGTTCAATATAAATGGCAAATCCCATTCTTTATTCTCAACATATGAAGTGATGTGGTCAACCACCTCCTCCCTTAATACAAACAATGAAAGGTACAAAGCCGTTTCTTTAAAACCTGTCTTTAACACCTGTTCCCTCTTCCTGCATGTACTATTCTTTATTCAACTTTTAGAAAAAGAAAAAAGAAATCTCCATTGTGAACATGCCGTCCTGTAAAGCATAAATAGTGAATTATAATTTTCTGTGTTGACTGGGGAGTCATAGTGTCAAGCTGAAAAAAGAAACAATAAATTGTAGGCTGGCCATTGAGACTTTTTTTTTCTTTCTGTACCTTAAGAAAAGAAAAATGTAAAATTAAAAATTTAGGATCGGAGCAACTTTAATCCAAGGTCATCACAATATGACCATGAGCAGACTAGTGGCTGAGGAAAACATTTTGGGACACAAAGCACCAGTCAAACTTTGGCACCTTTTGCTTTTAGCATGTTGACTAAGTCTCCAAATATTGTTTAAACTAGTGTACAAAACAGAAATACAGTGTACTGTTTGCATTACAAATAAAGGGGGGAAGGAAGAAGTATAATGGGCAGAGTGTCACCTTTTCAGTTGGAAAACAAATTTTGTTCTACATTTTGACTGATGAGTACAACAAAACAGAGATCAATATTTAAATGGTTCGTCCTAATTTCTTCACATGCACAATGTGTATAATGTGCATTTTGATGACATGCCGTTTTCTTTCATATGTAACGGATCATCTCCTGACACCTAAGCAGAGGGATGAGGTGCCTGAGATATTAGTGTAAGTCCTTGGTCTGCAGTGTTCCTCCACCAGGCTACATTTAGTTTTCATGGTGACCCGCTGGTTTGCTGGAAGTTGTAAATAATACATACTGTTTACTACTAACAGACGAACACAGGGGGCATCATGATTGATTTAGCCAAATGTAAACGTAAATGTAAAAAGGCCGCAGCAAATTTGCGCACAACCATTCTCAAAAGCGAAGACGTTACATAAATAAATGAGAAATTCTTGTATTCTTCTGACACCTGATGTCAATATTTATTTTTAAAGATGCAAAATAACTATGTCTCTGTGCATTGGTGGCTTTAATACTTGACTACTTCAAGTATTAAAATAATTTAAGCTTAAGAGGTGAAAGTGGGTCGACGTGTCTCTACAATGCTGTTATTGAAGAATGTCTGACTGTGTACTAGAGAAAAGTTTAGAGCCCATAAAGCTTAGCATGAAAAAATAAAGCTGAAAAATCTTTACATTAATAATAATAATAATACTTGTCTCTTATTTTTTTTTGGTATTTTTCTTACAGTTTACAGTTTTAATTTGCCATCCAATCAAAATCTGTGTGCATCTGGCTTAATTTCAGACAAGGCATCAGCTCAATCAATCAACCAATCAGCCGAAAAATGAATCAGATGAAAAATAAAACAGAAAAACAAACTTGAACATGAATCAATCACTTGCTAGTCAATGATCCATTTATAATGCATTGTCTGTTAGCTGTGCCATTTCCATCGTTTTATACAACTATGAGAAAGAACACTGTTCACCTCATCACCAGAAGACCTTTATGTCCTGTGAGCAGGTCGCAGGTATTCATGAAATGAATGCCAAAGCTGTTCTTTCATCAACTGGTAACCAGAAATATTACAAAGAACGTACTATGTGGGTTTTCTCTGAATTATTAGGTAAACACACACACACACTGTGTGATAAATGTTGATGTCTGGGTGATTTAGTAATTTCTCAAAGCGAATGTATAGTAATTCCAGTTTTGCGATAGACAACACAAAAGGCAGAGGAATGGATGTTTACACATCCATTTACATTGGCTACAATGTACACCAAGTGTTACGTCAGAAAAATCAAACAAGTGAGACTTTGAAAAGAACAGGAGCTACAAAACGTCACATGCTTATTCTTTTTCCATTGAAACTACAATGATTACCATAAATCTCCAGAGCTGCTGAGAACTAAAGAGAAGAAAAGACAAAGCAATGTTTAACAAACAGCTTATAGTAAATAAAGTCATTACCTAGTGACTTTTATGGAAGAATTCAAAATGTGATACCGTCAACTCCTTTAAATGATGCCAAAACAAGTCTGGGAAGTAATTTTTTTTTTTTTTTTTTTGAAAAATCAGTGTACCTTACGATGTCCGGCTTATTCTGATTGAACAAAGCATGTTTAAATGGGTTATGTAAAGTAAATCAGGGGGTTTCAGATATGAAGCAAACCGATTATAGTGTTTGATTTAAAAAAAAAATTAGAGTAACCGCAGAGGTTACTCTGGGGTTGTTTTTTTTTTCACTGGTATAAGTCATTAAAAAAAAAAAAAGAAAATCCCAAATGCAAACATCCACTGAGCAAAGAATCAGCTGGCCTCTTTTATTCATCTAGATACTAAGAAGTTCAAGGCTGAGATATATTTTTCTCCACATTAAAGAAAAAAGATTTAAATAGTGTGAAAAATACGCTGCTGCTTGATGCTTGAATAGATAAAGACCATGTTGAGAGCTCCCTGATGAAGACCTTCATTAAAGTGAGCAGCTATATGCTCAATGATCCTACAAAGTCATGCTGCTGCCTAGGTGAGGTCATTCTAGCGGGTAATGTGTTTACCTGGGGTGATGTGTGGCACTGAGAGGTGTTCACGAGTTAACAAGAATCTTCTGTTCATAAATGGTATCCCCAGGAGTTTGAAGCGTCCACGGCGTTTTGACTAAAGTCCGAGAGGTTAGAGTCCTTGTCAAACGGCGTTTTGACTCAAGTCCAAAGGGTTGGAGTCCCAGTTGATGGCGTCTCAACTAAAGTTCTACAGCTTTTTATTTCTCTTTCTCACTATTTACGTTTAATGTTTTTTTTAAATCTCTTTCTCACTGTTTAGTACATGCTGTTTTTTTTTTATTATGTAAAGCACTTTGAAATGCCTTGCTGCTGAAATGTGCTATACAAATAAAATTTGATTGATTGATTGAAGCCAGGATCTACGGCAGACAATCAAGAACAGAAAGGCAAAGCATCTTAAATTTGCCAAAAAACATCTAGATGATAGTTTATGAAAATATTTTGAGGACTATTGAGACAAATGCGTAACCTTTTAGAAGGTGTGGGTTAGGTTGCAACTGGAAAAAAAAAAACCTTAACAGGATCTCAGAAAAAATTGTACTGACAACCAAACCTCATGATGATAGTGTGGGGCTGATCTGATGGCTATCAGAAAATCCTGAAGGAGTTTTTTATTTTTTGTCAATACCAACAAACTGTGAAGCTTTGGTATCTTTACTCAAGATAGTCATACAATGAAACTATCATACCAGCCCATGTCAAGTCACAAATTTCAGATGCCACATTAATAGAAACGGTAATTTAACAGTAATGTGATTCTGCCAACAGGTCAGCAAAAATGTTAAGAAATTGTTTAATTTCTGTCAGTCATAAACCATTTCCTAACAAATTAGCAGCTTTCAGCTTTTCTACAATGCAGTCCAGCATCAACACAACCATTCAACGTGACAACTGTTTTTTCATTTGCCTGTATAAACTGTACATTTTACGGCCAATTAAACATCCGGGTTTCTATTTGTTCAACTGAGTCATTCCTTCAAGTCTCATATGACTTTTGCCTGGAGAAAATGTTAAGGAACTACATGCAACAGTATCCTTATGCTTATTAAAACACTCTCAGTAGAACTATGAGGTTTCTAAGTCAGGATAAAGACCTTATACACAACCAGCTTCCTTAAGCTATTACTTAATGGGATAAAATCAGTCAGTAAACTAAAATAAAATGCTCATTATTTTCAGGATATTGGTGTTGAAGATAACAATATCCTGAAAATATAAAAATGTTAGAAATAATTCCAACTTATTTTTAGAATTAATTCTTCTGTTGGGTTTATTATTTCTAATAACTTTACTTTTGGTAGGGCATCTATTGATTTACTGTTTATGATGCAGAGCTCCTAAATATTTTTTATTTAAATTTTCAGACTTAAATGTCTTGATTTTTCTTTCAGTTTATTTATTTACTGTGAGTCTTACTGAGGGCGGAGGACCCTTTTGTGTTTGTTCTTTTTGTATTATAGTGATATGTTTGAAAATGTGGGTTCATTAAAATGGAAAAAAAAATCCATCAGTTCGTATTGTTCAGCTTTATGTTCCAGTTTTTGTTTTTGTTTTTTCAATTTGTTTTGCTTATTTTTGCATCTTGACTAATCTTCAGTTTGATTTCAAAAACTGTAACACTTAAGTTTTCAAATGAAGACTAGATTATGGTATATCAAATCCAGATTTATTTACACACCTTCAATTGTTGAAACTTCTTCTATTAGAGACATTATTTTTAATGTTTTGACACCAAACCTGAGTAAGAACCACAGAACAAGTTTCCAACCCTGATCTCAGGGGGTCTCGGTACCCTCTTAGGCTAAATCTGATATTTAAACAAAAGTGCATTTATTAGTAGACTTCAGTCAGCAACCCAACAGCAAAAGCATTAGCAACTCATTAGCTGATGCTGAAGTTTTGGAGTTTTACTCACTGCATTGAATCTTTAAGTCTTTCAAGACGTATTCCAGGCTTTAGTGAGTCAGTAAGTGTTTAACAAGCTGTTCTTCCAGTTTGTGAAGCTCATCATCAGGCAGAAGATACTTCTGAACTATACTGATGACCTCTCTCTCAGTTGTACACTCAAAGTCCTTTTTGTTTTTAAAAGGTAGATGCCCTGCTAACTCACAGAGTGCAACATTAAAGGCAGATTCCTCTTTGGCACCGAAGCAGGATGTTCTGGGCCAAATAGCTATACGCACACCTTTTCTTAGACAGTGCTCCTTTGCAGTCTGCATTTGACCACTTGGTGGGCATCCTCTGGTCAGGAACAGGTTGTGAGCGATGTTTTCACCCACAAAAAAGTCTGTCACTTCACAGATCGTTCTTGCTGCCGTCTCCACCTCTTCGGATTCTGTATAGAGCAAAAATCCAACCGGAAAATCCTGGATGCGAAAAAAATTCTTCTCGGGTATCAAAGGCTTAACCAGGCTGGATTCAATCTTCAGCTCATGGTCCAGGTAATAACCATGAAGGTGTAAGTGATTAACAGATGCAAATGCTCCCAGGCTGTTAAACCCCACACGGAAACCTGGGCTGGAGCTGAGGAGCACAGACTCGATACCGACCTGGACAGCAGCTCTTGTCAGGATCTGTGGTAAACAGAGGGACGGATCTGGAACAAGAAGACAGTGTCCAAACTCCAAAGGGCTAACATTGATCAACACAACCATCCTGCAAGTTTGAGGCAACTGGTCATCAGGTACATCTCTTCCTCCACATGTGTCCTTCATCATTTCAAACAGAATTTCTTCTGCATTTATTTTGTTGAAGTTAAACTGGCTGGGATTAAACTCTTGCTGAATGCTCAGTATCTCCTGAGGCTTCCTCCTCTCGATTCCACGTTGAACATTGAGCTGAGCGACGTAACCATTCGACCCTGGTAGGATACGCGTTTCTAAATCGCCTAGATGGTAGCGGAAGAGTCCTCTGTCCATCCTGTCTGTCCAGCCATCTCTGATGAGCGAGTCAAGCTTGGAAGGTGGTGGACGGGTTTCTCTTTTCTGAAGCACATCTGTGACAAAATCCTGAGTGCTGTACACAAACTGAGGCAGCATGGTTGGATCTGTTAGTGAGCAGAACAAATGAAATACACAATATTCAAGTGGTCAGTGGTTTCTATTATCTTATTACTAATATTTTAAATTATTTTAAGTCAGGACGATCTTTAACTGTATGTGAATTTGTTGTACTGTTGGATTTTTTTTTAGCTAAACAAGCTGTTAAAATTTCGTCTGTGTCATTGACTGACACAAAACGAAGTTTTAACTCTTTTTTATTACCTTACCTTTGTGTAAGGACACCAAGAGGCTGCTTCATGAACACTTCAGAAGATGTAAACTACTTCAAAGTTCAGAACTATGTCCTATTCAAATTAAATTAAGCACATTTGATGCGGTAAGTGTAACACCAGGAAGCTGACCTAGCTAAGTTTTACGCTTTCCTTTTCCGATGCTCACTTCCTGTCTTCAGAATAAAAGCTCACTGAAGAAAAATGTAATATGACTTGATTACGTTTTTTCAAGTCAGTGTTATATAATATCTGTGTTACATAATATCTGTGTTATCAGTAATTACTGGACTTACATTAGAGAAAATAGTATAAAACTTAAACTCCTGAAACATTTTTGTTTCAATGCCAGCCAATGTATTCTTTGCATTTAGTGAAGATTAGTTTTTTGTGCATGATTTGTAGACAAAATAAATGTTCTGCCAGACTTAATGTTGTTAAAGGACTATTTGAGACAAGCATATTTCCATTTGAATACCTTAAAAATAATGTTTTACCATTTTATCAGTGTATATTTGTGTATGACTTCATGAAATAACTTATGAAGCTAAACAAGGATCTTTGTTTTAGCTATAGTGTTTAGGCTTTACGTAATCTTCTACTTATATGTGGAAATGATCTATTCATTAATTTCTGTTATCATGAATTCATCCATAATAATGAAAATCGTTTATTTGTTTATGATCTTATATTATTTTCAATTAATTGTAACATATTGTAACTGCACTGATCTCTTCATATTTTGTTTTTAGGGTGACTCTATCAAACAAGAGAACTATAAATTCAACTGCTCTTTTAGAGCTGATTCATACACTGTAGGGTTAAGTAAGTCAAAAAGAATGAGCAGCTGCCCAGTCAGTCTCCATGCTTATTTTAGTCACTGCATGCTTCCAAAGATAAAGCAGGCAGTGACTGGCAGAGCTGTGTGTCTGCTTAAGAGATTTGGGGTTCAGTGCACTTCATATCACTTGACTAGGTATCAGAACACGAAGGATCTACATTCACATTTAATTCAAAATTCAAGGAGGTGAGAGGATGGAAAGAAGTAAAAATAATGTAAGTACGGCTGTGTTTTACATTTTTTTAATGTTATGAAGTAATTTGTAATGAAGCATGGACAACACTTTTGTTGTGGAACTTTTTACTTTCTGTGTATTTTTAAATGTTTGATGTATAAAGAGGGTTTTAGAGTTTTAGTGAAAAATAAAATGGAATTTCATCTGTTTTTTTGACACAAGATTTAGACGAGATTTAGTTGAAAATAAATTTTTAAACATGTAATATGGGTACAAAGCCCTTTTCTATTCAAATTGCTTGTTTAAAGATTGAAAACAAAAAACAATGCCATGTGTATTTGCTCATACTTTAAAGCTTCTCTGACACATTTTCATTGTTTCTTGTTGTAGATGACAAATGAAGCTGAAGAAATGGCTCAGACTCTAAATATAAAAATGACTGAGGATTCTAATCCAGAGGTTTCACCGTCCACCTCGGTCACTGCCCAAGGTATAGAGAACTTCCGTCCTGTTGATTTTCAGTCTGGAAAGCTGTATTTTAAATTAACATTGAATCAGAAATGTTATCACATTAACAAAATATTATTTAAAGTTCCCATTCCTACTTGCTAAATTTTATGCCTTCTTGTTTTAATGAAATGTCAATTACAGCCAGAAGCAGAGTGAAATGGCACTTGAAGAGTTTAGTGTACCCTTGCTCCAAGCATCTATTTCATAAATATAATATGATGAAAATCTATTTCGAATCAAAACTTAATAATTGAACTTTTTTTTGGAAAAGACTCTTTTAAAATACTTGAAATTTGCATACAATGGATTTAAAAAGTGTACATCCCATTTGTAATATAGATAAATGAGATTGTGAGAAAATATTTCAAAACCTTTTCCACCTTTAATTTGACCTTTAAACTCTGATAGAGAGGTAACATGTACAAAAAAACAAAAGCTACAACGCCCTAAATTCACAACTCGGTACAGCCTCAGTCAAATACTTTGTTTTATTTACATTTTTATCCTATTTTAACATTTCATATAATTGAGTTTTGTCATCCTTCATAGGCAATCACAGCATTTTACCTTGCATCAACTACTTTTGAGAGCCACCATATGTCTTTACTGCTCTGTGGCTTCCCAGCCTGTCTTTTACCTCTGGCGGACAAAAAATTTATCAGCACATTTATTATGAATTCACTCAGCAAGTTTTAATTGTACATTTTTATTAATTCTCATTTATGGTTTTTATTTGCTCATTCCAGGTCAACAACCTTCTTCTGCAGAGAGTGAACAAAACAGGGCAACAACTGCCTCTGCAAAAACCAAGGAAAATGCCATCAGGCCAAAACTCCAGTTAACATTCAACACATTCACAGTCAAAAGTGGAGAAGATCTAAAAGTAGAGATCCTTGTGGTTGGAGACCCTGCACCAAAGATTGAATGGAAAAAAGAAGGTCAGGCAGTTAAGGAGACATCAAGGCTAGAGATTTTAAATAAAGCGTCTTTAACTGTCCTTCACATCAGACATGGTGTCAGAGAGCATTCTGGCCAGTACTCTGTCACAGCAAGCAACTCTGCCGGGAAAGACACAACAACCATCATGGTGGTTGTTCTTGACAAGCCAGACCCACCCACAGGGCCCGTGAGGATTGATGAGGTTAATTCTGACTATGTTATTATGTCCTGGGATCCACCTTCATATACAGGAGGCTGTCAGTTGGAGAACTATGTCGTGGAGAAACGGGAAACAACAAGCACGGAGTGGCACACTGTGTCCGCAACAACAGTTAGAACAACCATCAAAGTCACCAAGCTGAAGACAGGAAATGAATACCAATTCAGGATATCTGCGGAAAATAGGTATGGAAAAAGTGCTGCAATCACTTCTCCGGTTGTGACAGCAAAATATCCTTTCAGTGTACCTGCTTGTCCTGGCACTCCCTTAATATCCACTGTGACAAAGTATAGCATGGTGGTTGAGTGGGAGCCACCGCTCAGAGATGGAGGCAGCCCCATCATTGGCTATCACATTGAACGTAAAGAGAAGAACAGTATTTTGTGGACCAAGCTGAACAAATTTGTTATTACTGACAGTCGCTTCAAAGCAAGTGGGTTGGAAGAAGGCATTGAATATGAGTTCAGAGTCTTTGCTGAAAACATTGCAGGACTGAGCCCATGCAGTAATACATCGGAGTGTTGCGTGGCAAGAGATCCCTGCGATCCACCTGGGAAACCTGAAGCAGTTGCAGTGACCAGGGACAGCATCACACTTCAGTGGGCAAAACCTAAATATGACGGAGGAAGCACCATAACAGGATATGTTGTAGAGAAAAAGGAGCTCCCGGATGGCAGATGGATGAAGGCGAACTTTACCAATGTTACTGACAATCTTTTCACAGTTTCAGGACTGACAGGAGGGCAAAACTATGTGCTTAGGGTAACTGCTAAGAACAGTGCGGGTGTTTGGAGTGCACCCTCAGAAAGCATAACCATTCTTGCTCAGGATGTTATTGAAGCACCCACTGCATTTATTGATCCTAAGTTTAAGAGTGCTATTGTCATCCAAGCTGGAGAAACTTTTGTTATTGAAGCTGATTACTTTGGGAAGCCTCTCCCAGAAGTTGCATGGCTGAAAGATGGGAAAGAAATCGAGAAAGGTACGCCTAAAATAGAAATCAAAAACACCATCACTCATACAACTCTCACTGCCAGAGACTGCACACGTGCGGATGGAGGACGCTATGTGTTGAGTCTTAGCAACAGTGGTGGAACTACAACCATTTCGGTAAATGTGAAGGTCTTAGATAGACCTGGTCCTCCTGATGGGCCACTAAAGGTGAAGGTTATAAGTGCAGAGAAATGCAACCTTAACTGGAACCCCCCTTTAAATGATGGAGGTGCCAGCATCACCCATTACATCATTGAAAAAAGGGAAACCAGTCGTGTTACATGGACAGAGGTTGAACCTCACATTGAAGCTATAAGTTACAAAGTGACAAAACTGGTATGTGGCAAAGAATACATTTTCAGAATTGCTGCTGTAAATAAATATGGGGTTGGTGAATTTTTAGAATCTGAGCCTTTTGTTGCACAAAATCCTTTCAAGCCACCTAGTGCTCCCTCCACTCCTGTGACCAGTGCTGTGACTGGAGATTCAGTCGTGCTAACATGGGAAAGGCCTGAGAGCGATGGAGGCTCTGAGATTGATGGCTACATCCTGGAAAAGCGTGACAAAGATGGTGTGCGATGGACCAAATGCAACAAGAGAAGATTAAATGACATGCGCTTTAGATGTACTGGGCTTGCAGAGGGACATTACTATCAATTTAGAGTTCTGGCAGAAAATGCTGCTGGTGTGGGCGCACCCAGTGAGTCTAGTGAGTACATAAAGGTATGTGAAGCTACATACCCACCTGGCCCACCTTCCAACCCAAAAGTAACAGACTATTCCAGCAGTACGGTGTCTCTCATCTGGTCAAAACCAATTTATGATGGTGGAAATACAATCAATGGATATATTGTGGAATTGAAGGAAGCCACAGCAGATGAATGGATTGCATGCACACCAAGAACAGGAATAGAGGACACAAAATACACTGTAAAAAGATTAAAAGAAAATACAGAGTACAATTTTCGTATATGTGCAACAAATTCAACCGGTGTCGGAGAACATGCGGATCTACCTGGTTCTGTAGTAACAACTGAAAAGGTAGAGGCACCAGAGATTGAACTGGACAATGCTCTGAGAAAAATTGTAAATGTTCGAGCCTGCTCCACCTTACGTCTCTTTGTTACCTTAAGAGGACGGCCAGAGCCTGAAGTTAGGTGGACAAAAGCAGACGGCACTCTAGATGAACGCGCTCAAATTGAGGTAGCAAACTCCCACACTGTGTTAATAATAGAAAATGTCTCAAGAAATGACAGTGGAAAGTATGTGTTGACTGCTGAAAACTGCAGCGGTTCCAAATCAGCATTCATCAATGTGAGAGTGCTGGATTCTCCCAGTGCGCCAACAAATTTAGAAGTAAAGGATGTAAAGAGAAACTCTGTCTCCATCTCCTGGGAGCCACCTCTTATTGATGGAGGAACAAAGATTTCACACTACATAGTTGAAAAGAGAGAAGAGGCAAGAAAGGCATTCACTAGTGTTTGCAGCAACTGTGTA